ATCTTGTATCTCGAGGACTTTCAGGAATCGAATACTCGTTGTTCGTTGATTCTTATTATTAGAGAACCCCATCACTAGTATAACCTATGACTAATATTGATGGGTGTTTGAAAGAGCTCTTTTAGTTTACGATATCGTGGGATAAAAACAATTTTGTATCTTTTATACTTTTGTTTTAGGTATTCTGCAAAAAGTTTGCCAACAGTACCACGCTGGGATCATAAAACCAAAGTTTTTGAATGCAATAAAGTGACGGGTAAAATATTGCGACAATTTCACACGGCTTTTTATAAGAATCCTGTCAAATCGGACCAAGATGCAATCATATTGAAATTCTGCCAAGCATAACCGATTAAGAGAAAACGACCAAGGAACTTGACATTGGATCCTGCGACAAGAGATCAGACTCCATTAAAAACAACCAAACAGTGTACCATAAAATATATAAAAGTCGATAAACAATCTGTAAGTGCTTGCCAGAATAAGTTTTTAGCAGCGCATTGCTTCAAAATGAACGTGTCTCACATTTGGTTCAAAAGTCTTTCGTACGTGGAGAGTTTTCAGGAGAAAAAAGAGGAGGAGACCGTAAAGCCAACATATTCAAGGTTAAAAAGGCATCAATACATGCATTTATTTGCCAAGTGATCTAAATATTCGAAAACTATACAAACTATACAAAAATTCATTTTTGTACAGCACCGGCAAAAGAATCTTACTTTAATATATTGTGTTGGCTCTTGTTGTGTTTAATATATATGCTAAAGTTGTTATTTATTCTGAAAGCTGGTGTTATTCCTTTCGTTTTTACGTGTTTGGCTATTTTTGTTGTTATTTTGCCTGTATATGTAATCGAGCAGAAGGTACTGGGTTTTTTCTCTGGTGGTGGAAATACTAATTTCAGGGCTTTCTTGTGTAGTTTTTGATTTAACATTTTATTAACTGTTTGTTCGTTGTATCCGTTGTTTACTGCTATTTGCTTAATTATATTTAATTCTGTCTCAAAGTTGTATTTTGACATCGGAATTTCTGTTAATCTATGTAACATACTATGATAAGCTGCCAGTTTATGTTGTGTTGGATGGGATGATGAATTGTGTATAGTCGTGTCAGTATGGGTAGGTTTATGAAATATGGAGAAGTCATGTTTGTTTTGAAGTCTGTTAATTTTTAAGTCTAAAAAATTTATGGATCGATTTTGTTCTGTTTCTATTGTAAATTCAATATGAATATGAAGTGAATTAATATACGATAACAATTGGTCGAGTTGCCTGTTAGTACCTGTGAAACATACCAGTACGTCGTCTACGTATCTCCACCAATATAAAAACTGTTTGAATACGGGATGTTTTGAAATCTTTGTCTCTAGATGATCCATAAAAATATCTGATAACAATGGGCTTAGAGGATTACCCATTATAAGTCCTGCACTGTTATTTGTATATATTTTATTATTAAATTCAAAGTAGTCCTGGTTTATGCAAACTTCAAGAAGATGTAAAATTTCTGAAGTAATTATTGGATTTGTACTATTATGGTCTAAAAGGTTGTTTACTAGAATAAAAGTTTCTGTAGGAGGGATACTAGGAAAAAGATTTTTTACGTCAAATGAAATTAATCTGGAGTTGTTAGGTAATTGAAAATGTTGTATTTTATTAACTAGTTCTATTGTATTTTTTATGGTAAATTTAGGTGAAAATTTAGTGTGTTCTAAAATAATCTCTAACAGCTTTTTTTGAAAGTTTATATGACGGAGCTGTATAAAAAGAAACTACAGGTCTTATTGGGTGATCCGGTTTGTGTAGTTTAATGAAAGAGTATAATTTAGGAGGCTGTGGGTTCATGATATTGAGGTATTTCTGTTCTATTGGATTTAGTATTGATTTTGAATTTTCTAACGCTAGCTTAATTTGTTTTTGATATTTTTCTGTCGGATCTTTGTGTAAAGTTTCAATATTTTGATTATATAAGAATTCTATTGTTTTGTTATTATATTCTATTTTATCTATAGCAATAGTAGGGTTACCTTTGTCTGCTTTTGTAAACACAATGTTATTTTCTATTGATTTATTTTTAATTGAAATTGCTGTTTTATTCTCTTTGTAACAGGAATTCTTAGTTTCACTACACACATCTGTAATAGATTTGGCAATTATACTTTTTTCGATATTGTTAGCAGTTTTGTTTAACGCTACTTCACATTCTACACCTAAATATTCTAAAGTTCTTTCATTATTATGTTGGGGCAAGTTGTGTTTAAACTTTTTTGAGACAGCTAGAATGACGGCTTTAGAGGTAGTGATAAGATTTAAAATAAATTTTGTGAAAGTTTAAAAACAAAGTTTTCAGTGTTTTATTGTTACAGTTGTATAATTGTTGTATTATTCTTTATTTAATGTTTAAGCTATATCCCTAACTTATGCCTCGCAGTTTAAATGATATACTTAATACAAAAAGAAATAGAGAACTTATCAATTCTAAATCAAGAAATTATTGATTAATTAAATGATTTTTTTCCTGAGTTAACTACTGAAGAAATTTCTGAAACATTAGATGACAACAAAGAAAAGAAAATAGGATAAACATACTATTAGACATACAAATTAGATCTTTGATACTATCAGACATACAAATTTACAAATATCTTTGTTTAAAAAAACTAAGATCATATAACAAATCTCTAGAAACACTTTGGCAAAACCAAGAAAAAATGCAACGCAACTGACAAAAGTTCCAATTGGAAATTCAAAGCACCATAAACAGTTTAGGAAATGACATTACTTTTCAAGGTACCATCAGTCAGAAAAATTTAGATTGTCAAAATATTATCGATTTTATTGAAAATATAACAAATGGTATAATGTTTTCAAAATTAAACTAATAACATAGTTCAATTATATTAACTCAAGTAGTTCAATTATATTAATCCAAGAAGTTCAAGACATGATCAAATATTTACACAGTATTTACCAACCTTCCCAAATTCAAAAATTTACAAATATAAGAGACATTATATTGCAAAGAAGATACCATACTCCAACACAATTGCACTTTGCGTCTACTCAATGGTCAAAGTGCCAATGTCTTATCACAAAAGTCACGCTTCAAGAATCCGTTATAGAAACAAGTAACTAATAACGAGGTATTGATAATGCCATCCACATCTGAACGAGTCCAATCAAAGTTCAAGAGAGACCAAATTTTTGAAGTACGAAGTCCATACCTCATTAGTATACCAGAAAATTGTGAAGTGATTCTACAAAAATTCCAGAGCCATTATATTACCAAAATTGACTTTATGTTTTATTGTTTACATAAATATTTTTACCAAAAATATTTATGTAAACAATAATATGGCCTAACAATTAGTACCTATTAGAGAAACAAATACTACATTGCATACAACTCCATTGGTAACAACCTCAATCAAAGCAGTTATTCTAATCTTGATCATTGTGTACCTACATTATTAAACAAAGAAGACTAAATAAAACAACAGAACGAGCATGAAATAGAATTACAAGAAGATTCCGGATTTGAAGAAGATTCTATTTGAAAGCTATTCAATTTGAATCTTATTTAGAATAATCAGAATTGTTAATGGGGTAAAGTTAGTTATCATATCATCCATTAATTTGTCAAATAATCATACAATCATATTTTAAGTTTTCTTGATGAGACGTTATAAGATCTCGTTTAGGATTTCGCCTCTTCAAGGTAGGGCGGCTCCCTCTGTTTTGTTGCGGGAGCTTGGAGGGAACGAACAATGTCAGTTGCAAAGTTGTAGAGTAGCAAAACTGCTAGTGGAGCGGGAAAAATTGAAGGTGTGCAGCTTATTTTATCTGAGATATCTCGGAGGAGTTACTTCAAGGACGTCGTGATACCCCTCAGGAAGTTCGTTACCGACCAAGTGTCGAAGCCTGGCTGGAGAGAATGGAACTTTTTCTTGGAGAGCCTGGTGAGCATGTGCCCTAGGCAATGGCAAGGAGTTTTTAGGGTCTCTTTAGCTTTGTTGTTGAAGCTGTCTATCGTGCATAGTACATATCCTTTGTTGAAAGAAGGATGCTGTCCTCTTTTGTAGGTATATTGGCAAGACGGCGGATTAATACTGATGGACAATCAAAAGGTTTCCTCATGCATTTCCTCAGGATTTTTCTTTGAGTTACCAAAATGGTGTTACTTTTGAGGATCTGAATTCGAGCCTTTGCCCAAGGAGAACTCTCTAGTTCCTCTCGTCCACATCTCGACTGAGAGAAGATCTGAATAGGATTATTTATATATATATATATATAATATATATATATATATATATATATATATATATATATATATATATATATATATGTTCGGAAAGATTTCCGCGGTTACTACAATAAAACCTAGAGCTAAGATTAATATTTTTACTAAAATTAATATCAAATATCAAGCATATCAAGCTTCCTCGGAAGCCCTGAGGAAGGCATCAGAGAGGATGCCGAAAGCTTGGCAAAATGGACATCGACGCGGTTCAACCCGGAAGACTGGTGAGTTTGATATTAATATATATATATATATATATATATATATATATATATATATATATATATATATATATATAATATATATATATATATATATCAGAATAGACTCTGATCTATTTAAGGGGTGGGGATGTCGCCATTGTAACTAGGACTCGAAATAGCGTTGAGAGTTGGTTGGCGATTTTGACGCGGATTGTATGATTGGAGATATACAACTGTATGATTCTAATGAAGGAGGTAAGCAGTCCAGTAAGGTGGAGTTTTTCAAACAAACAAACAAAAAACTTGATCGAATGACTTCTGGACGTTTAGACAAATACTTTAGTAGATTTAGTTCCCTGCGTAAACAATTAACGCTGTCTACAGGATAATAATGTAAACAATAGAGTTGACTCACTTTTACAATGAAAGTTATAAGAAAACAAAATTCCATTAATAAAAAAATGGAATTCCACAGCAAGGAACAACACAAATAAAACTTACCTAAAATATGTCCCTGATAAATGTGCGACGTATCGACGTCCAAAGGTTCTCCTCTTGGACCCTGCACCTCAAGTTTATCCTGAAAAACGTGAAGGTCCCTTTTCAGCCGTACTCGAAAATCGTGACCATGAGCCTTGAATGCCACGTGGACATAATTGTCCGAGGCGATGGAACGTTTCGCTCGCGTGTGAGCTCTATGGACAGCTTCTGTGTCATAGGCAAGGGTCTCATAGTGACGAATATATTCGTTGAGTCGTTCAGCTGCAACAATAAATAATGCGTCTATATTAAACAAATATTTTAGCAGAAAGGATATTAGACAAAAAAATAACGTAAATATTTTTTACTAATATTAAAAAAATAATAACTAACTACTTTTATTACTTTTCTCAGCACTCTTAAACAGAGTAATTAATTGTGATGTTGAATTTTTTAAATAAATCAATTACAGATATAATCTTTTTACGCTTATACGGTTGCCTTCCATAGATATACCTTTTTTGGTTTTCTCTTTTGCGAGACATGCCATTGCATTTTACTTTTTTGGTTGTTCACCTTATCCGTTTAGTAATAATGTATATACAGTGCTTTTCAGATAAAACTATCCACCTTAAATAACTTTTGAACCTCTAATTTTTTGGAAAAACGCAAAAACACGTCAATTAATATTTGAAGGGGGAGACGTTATATCATATTTAAGGTTACTGGGAAATGCACCCTTTCACCCCCTGTATCAACCCCTTATTTTTTAAATTACTTCCCCCTTTTTTATTTTATATTTAGATTCTCCTTTTTGTGTTGATTTCAAAAATGTATAATACCTTTGGCTTGAAGTGATTAGTTTATGAGATAGACAATTTTCCTGTTAACAAGGATACTATCTCTCTCACCTTAAATGACTTTAACAAAATAGGTTGTAGCATAATTTAAACTTTTTAAATACTTAACCTTACTATTTGTAGTACCTTCAAAAACCAAGAAATAAAAAAATTCACTTTTTATTAAAGTTTTATCAAAAGTTAAATATAACCTTTCCGAAGATTTGGTTGTATTTCAACATGATAGAGCTTCTCCACACTTTGCTTTACCTGTGCGATAATTTTTAAACGAAACGTTTCTTGGTCCTTGGATAGGGTAAAGACGATAGATGATCGATTAACCACCTAGGTCACCGGATTGAACACCCCTAGACTTCTTCTTTAAAGGGTATTTAAAAACAAAAATGTATGCTATTCAACCAGAATCTCTAGATGATATACGACAAAGAATAGAGGATAAATGTCGACAATTAAATGCAGACGTGTTAAGCAATGTCAGAGAAAAATTTCAAAATAGATTATACTATTGTATGGAAGTGAAGGTCAGTCATTTTGATCAATTATTGTAAAAAATTTTAGTAGTGAAATGTTCATTCTAAATGTGTGTAATAAATTGTTAAAAAATAATTTTTTTTTATTCAATTTTCTTGCTTTTGTATTTATTTTTCTCATACACTAATCACTTCAAGCATCATATATTATACATTTCTGAAATCAGAACAAAGAGGAGAATCCAAATATCGAATAAAAAAGGGGAAAGTAATTAAAAAAAAGGGATGATTGGGGTTTTGTTTGTGTATGAGCAATGAGTGTTTTAAAACAACATATATAAGTATAGGGTTTTTATCGCGGTTCTCAAATAATTAGTATGTACATAAGTACTTTTTAAAATTATCTTTATTATAATTATTATGAAACACACATATATATCTAATATAGACAATATCAATTTAGAATAACCTATCTTAAAATTGAAATTCTCACAATAATTAAATTATATGAACAAAACTTGGTACCTTTCTGTCACTGAATGCCTAAATGAAACCGTTTACCAAAATAAAGGATTTAATCACCACTCAATATCTTCGTTATCAGCCTCGGTTATCCTTGTTTTTGTGAAATTTTTTCCCAAATACACCACAATGTGTTAATAATCAGCTTCTACCAATTTAAAATATTTTTATTCTTAATAGCATTTATAAATGGGCAAAATATTCTTATTTTTTTATTATTCTTCTTTTCTTCTTTCTTGTTTATTCTTCTTTTTAATAATCTTATATTGTTTTCAATCTCCCATCACCATATAAATATTATAATTTTAAATTCTTCTAATCTCCAATCTCCATATACATAATATAATTTTTAATTTCCAACTAATACTCTCTTACTCTTTTTTTATTCTTCACGTAATATACTTTCTAATACTACAAAACTGAATCACTGTTTACTGCATACTGTACTGTATAATTAATACTCTAATGCTCACCACCGTCTACTATGAACTGCTTGTACTTTTTACTGACCGACCGACTGACTGACTAATCAATTAATGAATGAACTCTCTAACTGTCCTCTATCCTCCAAACCATCGAGTATTTATATCATTTCAGTGTTCAAGAATATTCTTGAAAGAAATTATATTCGAATCCTTCTATTTCATCAATATCTGAATGTTCTTGAATATTCTACCACGCAAATACCTACCTAACTTCCTTATATTGACGTCTTCTAGAGAATTCTTTACCCTTCTATCGAGAATTTTATGGACATTTAGGCTTTTTAGATCAGAGTGTAAACTTACATGTAAATTAAACATATTAAATTAATAAATCACTATTTTACATCCGTAATTACTATTCAAATGTCACTTATTCACTGTATATTTGGTTACATAAAATCACAATTATTAAAATATCCAAACACATTGCAAAATAAAACTATTTAAGCTTATTATTATGCTAATTTCTTAAAAATACCCTCATATAAATACTTTTTATAATATTCTCTAGTATATAACTTATAAGTTATTTCTTTAATCACTATTTAAGTTCAATTTAGATTACCTTCATTTCTCCTATATCTATTATTATCTCAATATCTACATATATATAAAAAGGTAGAAGGTAAGACCACCGTATATACGTATTTCTGACTATTGGGCATCTTCATTACGGTGCAGCCAAGTCAAAAAAGGACCATGTTAACTTGAGGTTTCCAGCGCTACAACTGAAACAGGAGTCAGAGTCTTTTACATTATTGCCACAAATTGGTCGCATTGCTCATGTAGTGAACGTTTCCCAGTGTTGGCGAAAGAAGACAACTCAGAAGACAACGGCCTAACAGCCCGAACAAACAGTTAGTAAGTGTACACCTACATTGGAACCGTATTTCTCCCGATCCGATATCGGGCGACGTCGCCCGACGTCGGATTGAAAACAAACACAAGGTATTAAATGATAGTGCCTACACTGCTTCCATGACGAAGCAGTATAGGCACTCTGATTTAATACTTTGAGTTTGGTTTTAATCCGACGTCGGCCGACGTCGGCAGATATCGGATCGGGAGAAATACGGTTCCAATGTAGGTGTACACTAAGTTAGAAGATGGCCGTGAAAACCTAACGCATTTTACAAAGATATTGTTTATTTTTTGGTCAACATTGTGAAGAGCCGTAAGCTGGAGTACTTGGGACATATAATGCGAAATTGAGGCAGATACGAGCTACTCCAACGCATTTTGCAGGGTAAAATTAAAGAAAAAAGAATCCCAGGACGTCATATTTAAGCAAATTGGTAGGTTTGTCATATTTAAGCAATAATACTTAATTATTGCTTAAACATTTCGGTTATTTGGCGTTTTCAATAAGCACTTTAATTATATTAACATTACATGATACACTTTATATTTATGTCCGCACTTTAAGCTAGTTTGCGATGGAATGTGAAAGTGATATTGACCCGTAAGCCACAGGGCAGGGTACTTTAAAACTACGACCGGTTAAGGGTCCTATTTAAAGTATCTGCCAATGGTGCATTTACGAAACAAACTCAATTTATTAAATTATAATACAAATTTCCGAGAAATTATCGTTCGTTTTATTGATAGATTTTGTTCTTTTTTATGTGAATCACCTCCAATATACGTCTTTTGTTGTAGTTCTGTTTTTTTTTTCCAAAATCTGTACATTTTCAAAATCGAAAAAATTGGCTTTTCTAGAGAATGCTTAGCTAAGGCTGTAGTGTTTAATTTGTTGGTTTGTACACTATATTTGTGTGAAACAAATTGATCAAACAAAATGATCTTCAGTAACATTGGGTTTAAATTTTGAAAAATATTTTCCGGATATTTTTGACGATTTATGTCCAACATTGATGTCATATTTTACCAACATTTTTAAAATTTGTTCAGAGAATCCACTAATGTATAGTATGTACCCCTTTTCCTTGTCCAGATATAGTTACGGATATGATAGCATTACCGTAAAGTTACCATAACCATTGTTTCTCGGAACTGTTTTTTGGCGTAACACTTCGGCAATAAATTAGCAATCAGTTCCTTGCGGTTTGCTTTGTGGCCGATATCTCGGTTTTCCTGGGGTGTGTTTTGAGATAGGGGATAATGGGTAGCTTTTGGGGATTACAATATACCAATCAACAGCAATTAATTAGCACTAAAATATGCCACCAAGATGGATCCTGTACCCCTTTTCCTTGCCATGGTATTGCTATGGCTATTTTAGCTTTACCGTAAAGTTGGCATACCCACTGCTTCTCAGAAATGGCTACAGCAATAATGTTGGTCTGAATTCGGTTTTATAAAATGACTGTATCAAAAAATCTTGTATCTTTACAAAACATGGGCATTAGTAAAGACCAGTGGTGGGATTTTCTAATTATAGATTTAGTTTCATCAAAATTAGACAAAAAATACTTTTCTAGAGTGAAAAGATAAAAAATTTAGCGATGAACTTCCTAACATTTTGGAATTCTTAGAATTTCTTAAATCAAAAGCAGAAATGTTGGAAATCATACACAATACTACAATTGTAAACATTAATTCTAGCTTTAATATAAAACAAAACAAAAAATCATTCAAAGTTTAATTTAGGCAATTTTTAGCCATAACTCAAATAAGAATTATTACAAAAAATGCAATTTTTGTAAAAAGAATAACCATACAATATAAAGTTGCTCTGATTTCTTAAAACGAAATATCAATCAAAGAAAATAATCAATTTCACAACTACAGTTGTGTGAAAACTGTCTGAGGACAGGACATAAGGTTGAATCATGCCATTTAGGGCCTTGCAAAAAATGCAATGTAAAATATAATTCATTGATTCATGGACAATACAATAATCCAATATCTACTAATTTATTTATACAACCTCAACATTCAAATACACAAATTCTATTAACCACTGTAGGCTTTTATGTGAAAGATACTGTAGGCAACCATCATTACTGCCGAGCTCTATTAGACAGTGATTCGCAAAACAATTTAATCACCTATCAAAAAAATGGAATTTGACTATTTTTTCTAGAGTTGATCAAACAACAATTTCATGTTATGTGATTTCCAGCATATGGAGTGAAATGCCTGCAGAAAAACTAATCCACCCATCTTTAATTATCCCTAAAAATATTCAATTATCAGATGAACAATTTTTTGAACCTGGAGATATTGGTATGCTTATAGGTGTAGATCTTTTTTGGGACCTTCTAACAGAAGGAAAAGTATATCTTGGTAGCAGGTTACCTATTTTACAAAATACTAAACTAGGCTGGGTTGTTTCAGGAAAAATCCTGTATCAACTTCATTATCCAGATGCAATTTTGCAAACATAATTTATTTCGAAGATGCTCAATTAAAAAGATTTTGGGAACTAGAAGAAGTACCTGTAAATTCAGTCTTGCCAAAAGATTAACCAAATTGTGAAAATCATTTTCACAGAAATACTACTAGAAATGAAGAGGGTCGTTTCATAGTAAAGTTATCACTAAAACTATCTCCGGATAGGGGATTCATTCAATGCAACCTGTAAATGAACGTCAAAAAACTGTGAAACTTAAAAGACGCTTTTTGAAGTTCCTTACAAATTTTTAGAGATTTAAACAGTATTAAATACAGTTCCGTAGTAGTATTCATAGAAATTAGACGTGCAATAATTTACAATTAATATTGTGCTTTAAATTGTGAAATTTGTGGCGTTGGCTAACAACAATATCGTTTATTGAAATACCTACCGTATGAGTGTCAATAGCGGGGGGAGACCCCCTGACCCCAAAAAACCCTCAAAACCAGGTATGTCTGGAAATATATTCGATAATCAAAATGATGCCGAAATGGATACTTCTGTAAGTACTCCAACACCAATAAATTTGACGAATAATGCAAATACAACCCTTCTGAATGAAACACAACAAAAAGTAACAAAACAGGTAAGGCAAGCATTTTTATTCAATAGTAATGATCTAGGCCCATATCATGTATATATCGAGAATAGCTCTACTGAGTTTAAAGGTAAACTTAATCCTTTAAAGATTGGTGAAATTATTTTATCTAACTTTCCTGAAGCAGACAATATGATTTCAAGTATAGACGGCATTGGCCGAAATAGAATTAGAGTCAAATGTAAAGATTATAAAACTGCTAACAACCTCATCAAAAACAAAACTCTAGAAATATTTCGTTCAAATAATTTAGATCTGTATATTCCAAAATTTATTTTACACAGACAAGGAGTTATTAGGGATATAGACACAGATTTGTCGGAAGAGTATATTAAAAATAGAATTAAACAGTATGAGAGTCATTGCATATTTGAAATTGCAAACGTTAAAAGAATTACACGTAAAGTAGAAAAATTTGTTAATGAGGAAAAAATTGTCGAATATGTCCCTACTAAGTCTTGTATTGTGACCTTTAAATCGCAAACTTTACCTAAATATATAGTCATCAATAAGGTTATTAAAGAAGTTGAAATATATAAACAAAAAGTTTTGTTGTGCTTTAACTGTCTTAGATACGGCCACTTAGGAAATCAATGTAGAAGTCAGCCAAGATGTAACAGATGCCAAGAAACTCATAATTCAAAGGATTGTACAAAAGTTGAGTTCACAAAAGTATGTTTCAGTTGTAAGGGCAATCATTTTACTACAAATTTAGGCGATTGCCCAGAATTCACACGACAAAAGTTAATAAAAGAGACTATGGGTTTAACAAACATTAATTTTTACGATGCAAATAAACAAGTGCCTAAGAATTCATATGCTAGTATTCTTAGGAATAATACAGCCAACAATGTTACAAATTCTCCACAAAATTTACAACCTTCTACTTCCTACCAGGGAAATAATTTTGCTAATTTTATATTTAATCCTCGCACAAACACCAGTAGGCCAAATAAAAGGCAGAAACCAAATAATTCAGACCCAGCTGATATAGCTAGAAAAGAAATAGTATCTACAGTTTCCCCTCCAAAACATCCTGAGGGAATAGTTAAAAGTCAATTCTACCAAAAAAACTTAAACATTGCAGATTCACAGTCAGAAGAGTTAAATTCTTCTGTAATAAATGTCATTTTAGATTCGGTTCTTACAATTGTTAATTCAATTAAACAAAATAATAATTTTAATATTTCAAAAGCTGATGTAATTCAGATAATTAAGTAGTAACCATTTTAACCAAAATCTAGCATCAAATTCGCAGACTTAAATAAAATAAACGTATTACAGTAGAACTGTCGTTCAGCAGTTGCTAATAAAGAAAATTTAGAATATTTACTTCATCAAAACGACATCACTATAGCTCTATTATCTGAAACCTGGTTCACACCGGGAAAATATTATAATTTTAAAGAATTTAATTGTGTTCGAGCTGACCGCCCTGATGGATATAGCGGTTGTGCCATCCTCTTGAAATCCAACATAATATATGAAGAAATAAATTTTCAAAATACGTATTCGTTTACATATAAGTGTATTTCAATAAAAATTTCACATTTCAAGAAACCTTTACATATAATTTCTCTATATAATGAACCCAGAAACAAAGTTTTAATGCAACAATGGATCACTTTTTTAGAAAATATACCAAAACCATTTATAATTGGAGGCGATTTTAACGCACACAATTTGGCATGGGGCTGCGAAATTGATGATAGATTAGGTAAAGATCTTCTAGATGCTATCGAATACTGTAATTTAGAATATTTAAACGATGGGTCCCCCACTCTTGCTATTTCCAATAAACCTTCTGCTGTAGACTTAACTATTTGTTCCCGAGATATTGCCTCTTATTTTCGTTGGAGTACTTTACAAGAACCTTATGGATCCAATCATGTGCCAATTATTTTTTCATCACAAAGTTTCTCAGCAGCAGAAGACAGATCCAGTAGAAAACATAGAATATGGAACTTTAACAGAGCCAATTGGATGATGTATACCAGCACTTTGGAAGCAATGAAAATACCATTAACCTACGAAGAATTGGTAACAAATATAAACCAGGCAGCCAACGTCGCTATCCCAAAACATTCTTCCATTAAAGAAAAAAACAAAGGTCATATTCCAAAACCATGGTGGAATAATCATTGTCAGTTAGCAGCTGAAAATAGAAAACATGCGTTTATAAATTATAAACAGAATCCAACGCTCCAAAACCTAATGGAGTTTAAACGACTAGATGCTATTGCAAAAAAAATCTTCAAACAGAAGAAAAAGAAGAATTGGATTGATTTTTGCGAAAGTCTAAACTCAAGAACACCAATAAAAGATGTCTGGCGAAAAGTTAATTGTTTTAAAAACCGCAAACAAGCCAACAAAGTACCTATTGATCCAGAAGATACATGGTTGCAGGAAATCCATAGAAAAATTGCCCCGGTATGGGTTCCAAATGACGACACTGTACAAAAACATATCCAAACAGTACCCAGACAAAACCACAATTTTGACGAGAATTTTCATTTATGGGAATTGCATCGTGCCCTTGAACACAGAAATAATACTTCTCCAGGTATTGACAATGTGTCATATTCGCTATTATACAACCTACCTATAGAATATAAAATTTCACTAGTAAACATTTTCAACAATATTTGGACAATTAAGACACCAGTACCAAATAGTTGGAAAGAGTATCTGGTAATTCCCATTAAAAAACCTGGCAGACCAGAACGTGATCCAAGTTCTTACCGACCTATCTCCTTATCTTCATGTCTTTTAAAAACATTTGAAAGAATAATTAAAAATAGATTTGAACATTGGCTAGAACACGATGGTATACTTCCAAGTTCCCAATATGGTTTTCGCAAGTCTAGGTCCACTCAAGATGCAACTACAGCTCTAGTTACTTCAATTCAGCTTAATTTTACATCAAATAAGTCTACAGCAGCTGCGTTCCTTGACATTTCTGCTGCTTTTGATAATGTCAATTTAGACATTCTTTACCAAAAAATGTTGTATATCGGAATCCCTAGATCATTTGCTCTCTTTTTAAAATCTTTATATTCTAACAGACTAACTTTTTTAAAAATTAATAATGAGGAATTTTCATACCCCCGACTAACTAACATTGGATTGCCACAGGGGAGTATTTTAAGCCCGATTTTATATATCCTGTATAACATAGATCTTGAAGTTAGTATACCCAACCATACAAATATTCTTTAATATGCTGATGATGTTGTTTTATATACAGCAGGAAAATTGTTAAGTACCTGTGAGGAGAATTTAAAAGTCACATTAGAAATCGTAAATCAGTACTATGAAGAAATAGGATTATCAATTTCTGACACAAAAACTGAAGTGTGCTATTTTTCACAAAAACATAGAGTTCCACAAGGCAATCTTAATGTGGGAAAATTTAATTTCCCTATAAAAAACTGTATTAAGTATCTTAGTATGTATCTAGACAGGAAATTGTTATGGAAAGATCACATTCATCAAATTGTTAAAAAATCGGAAAACTCAATAAACATTTTAAGAGCTTTCTGTAAAACAAATTGGGGAGCAGACCCAAATATTGCTTTGATGTTTTACCGTAACATGATTAGGCCGATTTTCGACTATAACTGTCATTTATTTGGATCAGCGGCCAATACACATCTAAACAAACTTGAAGTTCAAAAAAATAAATGCCTGAGATTATGCCTAGGTTATTTAAAATCCACTCCAGTCCAAATAATGGAAAATGAAGCGGTGGAACCTCCATTGCATTTACGCCGCCAATTCCTTAGCGACAAATTTACAGTCCGAATTATGTCCAAAAATTGTAAATACCTTCAAGATTTTAATGAGCTATCAGTTTTAGACCTTACCCATAGGTACTGGAGAACTAAAAAATCTATACCTTTGGTAGAAAGCTATGTAAGTACTGTAAAATACAACGATATTCTCTATAAAAGTCAAATTCCGCCCTACTATGGTGAAATGGCCAAAACACTATTTTCTAGAAAAGTTAGGATATGTTACTTAAACTCACATTTACTCCCAAATATGTTTGATATAATTATTAAAGAAAAATGGACAAATTATCAGTACATTTTTACTGATGGGTCAAAAGATGCAAATGGAACGGGCTGTGCAATGTTCCACGAAAATAAAAATTGCTATCATCAGTATAGCTTACCCAGTGAATGCTCAATATATACAGCAGAAATGATGGCAATATTGTTTGCTCTTCAGTATGTAGTACAAAATCCTACTAACAACTATGTTACATTTACTGACAGTAAAAGCGTGGTAGACAGATTTAACAACATACAAACAGTCAAACACATAAATCACATTGAACTGAAAATTCTTAAAATTCTGTATGAAACTATACAATTAGGATTAAATGTAATAATTACATGGATCAAGGGCCATTCGGGAATAAAAGGCAATGAGATCGTTGACAATTTGGCTAAATCGGCATATATGCTTGGAGTAAAAGTAAACAAAAATTTAATTCCAGCGACAGATATTGACACCGTTAGTAGACAAAAACTTAAAAATAATTGGCATTTACATTACACAGAATGTAAGACTGGCTTAAATTTTTATCATTGTAATACTAGGATACCTTCAAGAAGATGGTTCTACACAGAATTTAATCGACATTTTATAAAGACCATTAATCGGCTGCGAGCAAATCATGCTCTTACGCCATCTTACATGCATGGAATCGGCTTATCAAATACTCCCAATTGTACCTACTTGTGGCAAAATAGGCGATCTAACACATATTATATTAGAATGTGATTTACAAATTAATAATATAAACGAACTTATAAGGAATTAATAAATTCTAAGTGTTGTTTTCCAATAAACCTTAATCTTTTAATATTTTCAAATAATATGGAAATTCTTCATTGCATTTACAAACATGTTAAAATGTGTAAATACAAGATGTAAATAGTATATAGGCATAATCTGTTAATATGGTTTGAAAAAAAAATTATAACACAAATTAAGAAAAAAAAACAAAAGAATTAAGAAAATAGATATAGAACAAAAAACAAAAAAAAATAAATACAAAAAAAACAAAAAAAAAACAACAAAACAAAAAAGAAAACAAAACAAAAAAAAGAAGATAAAAAAGAATAAAAAAAAAGAAACAAAAAAAAATATATCAAAATATAATTTATGTATAAATATTAGGTATATGTAGTACTAACATTGATAACTTATAACAAGAAAATTTTGACTATGAATCTGCAATCACTAATAATTAAAATTAAATCGATTTTAACAATAAAAACAAACAAGTCTGGCTAATTGGCTCTGCCAAGGCCATATTACACAAAAAAAAATACAATACAATTCTAATGAAACATGCTATTATTTACCACATCATGGTGTTCTCAAAGAAGAAAGTATCACAATAAAACAAGGTGTAGTTTTCGATGTTAACTGTACTTCTTCTACAGGCTACTCATTAAACGATTTACAATACATCGATCCAAAAGTCCAAAAT